TATATTGAAGATTTTCCATAATGAAAAACTAAATACGTATGTTTTTAATCTTTTAACGTACACTTAAAGGATAAGGAATAATTCGTCTTAATACATTTTCTTAATTTTAAACCAATGACGCATATGAATTTCATTCGATTTAAAAACTACAACGCCTTATATTAATTTCAAAAACGTAAAGATTAGCAATCTTATATCATGCGCATGTAAGCCAGAGATCTTCCAAATACAAGCCAGACTTGCCAACCTCTTAAATCATGAGTATAATGCGATAATTCCCTACATTATCCCCCAAGTTAAGGGCGACCGGGAAAAGGCACGTGATCCAATCAACCAAATCCAGGTAGTGTCGGATTATCGACCTTTCAAACTATGTGGTCTTTCAGTTGCGAGCTGAACATGGTAACAATGTACATCATCACAGCACGCGAAGGGGAATGAGATAATTCTTCATACTAATATAACAGAAACATAAATACACGCATGTCCACCATCAGCTAATTATAACAACCATATTACTGTAAGTTAAAATGCGTCCCACATAATAGCATTCTTGCACTAAAATTCTGCTACTGTAATTCTAAACCTACAAATTAGTTGGAATTTGAAACACAATTTTTTGAAAAGTCTATGCCAAGATGTTCTCTACCGTAAACAATTTTATCGAAAAATGCTACTTTCGTGGTAATCGTTCCTCTCAGGCACGGCATTCTGTTCTTTAATGAAACACATCTGACACTGAGTTAATCTCCTCACGAAAACATTTTCAACTTATTCATGCGAACACTACTATCAAATATGCAAACAATAAAATATACATGAACGAATCCGCCACGAAAGTGAAAGGCAAATGTGAGTAAAAAGGAAGCAGGTGATCATGGTTGAATGAACTCTTTTCCTCCGCAGGCAATTCGAGGGTAAATAATCTTGTTTGAAGACTAATTTCACATCGCAGTCAGGAAGAACATTTACGACCAATTACTGAACGTAACTATTTTAATTTTTTACACGCTATCACGACACAGCCTTCACGAAACCGACAGGGAAAGTTTAATAAATTTTAGTTATGACGATACTCCGGTGGTCGTTTAAATGCCAAGGATAATGTTCCAGCCTTCAAGACATCTAACCAGAATGAATTATTTAATTATGCCTCGTTATGTTTTACAAATTACTGAATAAAGAGATACAACAGGTTCTGTTTTGCATTTATGTTTTATTTTAGAGTCTCCAGTAGTTCACGTGCAGCTTAGTACTGAGCCATTTATTTCGAGCAAAATTTGTTTGTGATTCTTATGGTCTGACAAGTGTCTTTACGCCAGTATTCAAAATATTTTTGAGATAATGTAATACGCAATCAAAAGTACAGAAGACTACAAACAAATATATATATTAAGCAGTTGCAGAAAACTTAATTAACAGTCTTAGAGGAAACACTTTGTGTAATAGGAAATAATTTATCCTTTTATACAATTGTATTTTAAAAGCTGATCAAAGTTCAGCCTTGGAGTAGCGATGACTTTAAACAAAGCCTTTTACGCATTTCGGAAAATGACACGAGTAAAATTATTCTGTAAATGCTAATCGTTTTTCCTCTAGGAAATTAATTTCTATCAGTTCCTTTGAAAAGCATATAGTTTTTCAAAGACTGTTCGCACATTTTTTTAGACTATTTTCCTTAGTATAAGAAAATCGTCTGCTTTATTTTTGAAAATATAAATTATCGTCTGCTTCTTGACAATTTTGTTTTCATGCAAAATGGCGCTTTTAAAAAAACAATGAACGGAAGGCTATGTTTGTCCTCTTTACGAAGAAAATTATTTGTATTTAATTATTAAAAAACGCTGGGTAAGTCATGCTTTTTTTATATCAAGTCATGGTTTTGTTCAAGCTACGATACGTAATATTGCCAACAAGAAAGAAGAAAAAAGTCAAAGTTTGGTTCAAGGGAAAAAAATTGTTCCAAATGCATATTCAAGGAAAAAACTGAATGCTGCAAAGGTAAGATCTTTAATGTTAAACGAAAATCCGCCAACTAAAAGGACAGTTGCAAAATTATTTAAGCGCTCAGTATCAACTGTAAACAAAGTAATTAATTCTGCTTTGAATCTTAAAAAGGCGAAAAAAGATAATATGCGTAGTCTTACTTCACGACATATCGCTTAACGCAACACGTGCTGCAGAATTCTTTATGACAAACATTTATCGGGAAAAACTGGAAAATTTTTCTCAAAACGATTGCAATAAAAAGAGATATATTTATTATCATCAAAGGAGACGAAAAAATCTTAAAGCATGGTTTAAAGAATCTAAATATAGTTTTTCAAAGAAATTTATGATTGTTGCTGGTTTTTCATATTACGGCAAATTAAAAATAAAAAGAATGGAGAAAATGTTAAGATCAATTCCTCATATTATCATGAACATATTTTGTATCCAATTTTCGAATATGAAATAATTTCTCTTTACCTACAATGCGATCATCAGTAAAACTCCATCAAGAGAAAACAAGCAACAACACTTAAAATCCACTGATAATTTCTTGAAAAAAATGGAAAAAGAAACGGATATCAAGCCCCCTATTCTTCACTCATATCCCTATTAAATAACCTGATGTATCAGCCATGGATTTTTGCGCTTTAGAACTTTTAAGACTTTATTGTCTTAAAAATTACAAAAATTTGAAATGAAAAAATGAAGAATAAGGTCATCAAGAGAACATTTAAAACACAGAAATGTTTAGGTAAAATATTTCTGTAAATACAACTAAGGTCATCTAAAAAATTTGCAAATAACCTCTGTAACCCCAATTATCAATCTAAATTGAATTTTTCTGAATTTTAAAGTTAAAATAGTTTCATATGCTTCGATTTCACACGCAAGAAAATGTATGTTTACAAAAGCATATAATGGGAGAACACATGCAGAGAAAATAGTATTTCTAGAATTTAAAAATAAATGTTATGCCTTTATTAAATATTATTAAATTAAAGATTATAACAAAAATAAAAATATTCAAAACACGGATTTAAAATATGTATATTTTTATTCTTTTCACATTTAAAATGCTAGACGAAAAACTCAGAGGGGTGTTTTAGAGTTTTTCAGTGACATTCATGGGTTTCTGTGAGAGGTATACAACCTTGAATTACTCCATTTTTAACCAGTCTGCGCGACAATTTTTCACTAATTATAAAGCAAAAATTGTTTTCTAAAGTTAGTTAATCCATTAGCTAATCTTTCTAAGATAGCTAATACTTAAATATTATATCTTGAAGAAAATTCAGGAGAATATTTTCGGTTGAAAAGATTATTTTTAATCTTTAGTGATCTTTAATGGTAATAATAGAGTTCCATGTGATTTTATGCATACCATATGAAATTTAATCTAAATGTAAATCGATTTGGCCGCCCTGTGTTTTGTATTATTATAAAGAGAAGACTATCCCTTTGTTGGAAGCGCCTCTATATGATCCCCAACACTAAATCAGAATGATGATATGCATGGTTCAGTGAAAGGACAATAACAACAAAGCTGTCAAGCTCTTGTTTCCTGCTTTGATATATCCTTCGTTAGGCCTTTTCCTGCTCATATGTTTTTGAATATATGGTATAATAAAAATATTTATTTTTATTTTCTCACCTGCTAAGCTTTTGGATAGAAAGATGTTGGCTAAGTGATAAGAATATACAGAGTATTTGAAAATGTATTGCTGTAAATTGAAATGAAGTGCTAGTTTATGAATTCAGAAGACTTACATTTTATTCTTTGCTTTAAATCGTTTAAAAATAAAAAATTTCTCAACCTTTTTTTTTTAATTTTAGAAAGTAAACACTTTCAGAGATACTGTTTAAATATATTTCTAGAAATATTTTTGATGCTGTAATGTCAATTGTGATACACAACAAAGCGGCTAAAACAACAAATCGAAAGTCATTCAGTGACCTCACTTTAATGAAATAAGAAAGTTGTTTTATTACGTAGAAAAAAGTTAACATTTTTAAAGACACTGTTAAAATATTTTTGATACCGTAATGCCCACAGCGGTTAGGACAACAAAACAAGATTCGCTGAGTGATTTCATGTTAATGAAATAAGAAAGTTGTCTTATTAATTTGACAAAATTCAAATTTAATTTCACGCTAATTTTTATAAAACTCCTAGGCATTTTGTATGTTTTTCAAAGGGCAAAATATTGCTTTGAGAGAATATTTTTGCTATCAGTTTCTGAACGTTTCTGTTTTACTGGCAGAATACTTCAGTTTCTTGCCACAAAGGGATGCATATCAGTCACATTTAAAATGCATGATTAAAGTATTGGAATAAGCTAGGAAATCTTATATTTGTTAATAACATTTCTACAAAAAACAATTTGTCACAACATTTTTTATAATTAAGCACACACACATTTAATTTTCAAATTTTTTTCCTCTGTCGCGAGCAACAAAAGGCTGTCTCCATAAAAATAAAAAATATGATCAAAAATTGAAAATAAATAGTATTTGTCTAAATTCTTAAAATCTTAACTGTACAATTTCACCAAGCTCTTACTCATAATATTTTATTATTATTTAGTATTATTGTATTTGAAACGAAATATCCATGGATAAATTATGTTCCAAATTTCCTCTACGATAGATATTGTAATACTAATATTGAAAATATTAATTTTTTTACGATTTTACTCATACATTTACATAACAACATACATTTACATATATTTACCCTTTTATCTGTTAAGGTTTAACATTTTTTTAAAGTTATATATATATATATGCAACCTGAAATAAAAGTAAGAGAGTAATTTCATAGAAAAAAACATATAGTCAAAGAATAAAAAATTTGATAGGAAATGGATTAAATGGCTATCGAGCATTTTCATCCTGTTTTGTGTAACCTTTAACTGTTTCCTAGTTGAAGGAAAGCTACGACAAAGGGAAAAGAAATAAGTTTTCGATTAACGAAAGTAGGTCACAGAGAAAAATGAGGACACGGTGTTTGGTCCAGAATACCTTTCTTTTGATATACAGTTGAGATGCTGGCTTCTGTGATAGAAGAAATGCATCGAAAGGTAAGACATTTTTATCGTTCTGAAAAAAGATGAGTTTCGTTTTCTCTAGAAATTTAATATCTGAAACGTTTATAAAGTTAAAAATTGGATAAAAAATAATATCTTTTACGAAAACAAGGTTTTTAAGATGAGATTTTATGTTTACAGAAGTACGGAAATTGAAGGTATCTTTTTCGTGTAGTTCAATACTATATCCAATAGCAACTTTGGGAAACTGGATCCAAACCTTTTGTAATTTTCTATACTATGTTGTAGTTGAGGTATTTCTAACATGTTGTAGTTGAGGTATTTCGTTCTTTTGATCAAGAATCAAACACTCGAAGCATAATCTATTCTATGCGACATATTTTGTTGTTCTTTAAATTTAAAGATAAGCTTCTGTTAATTTTACAATGCGTTCCTAGGTATAAAACATGCTATTTAGTTTCTGCACGTATTCACAGCTGATTTATAATGCGCTATTTATGTTTTCCAGAACTAACGTGCATTTGCTAGCTAGGAAAAGATTCGGTTTGCATTCTAACTACTTTCAGGTTTGGAGAAGGTCCTGGTTCCTAACCTTTGAATAGGTACATTAAACTTTAGAGTGTGAAAGTGAGTAACGTCTATTGGTGGAATATATCTTAACTAAAACGTCTATTGGTGGAATATAGTGTTCTGTAACTGTGGATTTGTTCATTTATTAGAAATATATTTTTACTACCGTTAATGATACTTAAGTTTTTTTAATCGAAGTGCTATTAATATTATGATGAACATCTGCCATATGTTTAAAATAAAAAATAATGAAAGACTAGTTCCACAAGAAAGAAAGATTAAGAAAAAATGCAAACTCTGGCTGAATTTTAAGAAAATCATTAGAAATGGTAATAATTAAGCAATAATTTTATTTACTTATCATGAAACACTATAGGAAATGAGAAAACTGGAGAATCATTTATGTTTAATAAAAATCCTTTATGTTCAATAAGAAAAAAGAAAATTAAAAAAGAGGATTGGTACAAAATTGGAACGGGAAAATGTTTGATTAACACTTGTTGATTTATATAGGAAACCCTAATACAGAAACTGTAAATTACCCAGGAATGGCTTTAATATGTTAAGTCCTAATTCCATGGGAAATATAAATGAATTTGTTTGAATAAAATATGGAAAGACAAACTTTCTGACTTAATAATATGATCGTGAATATGAGATGCAAACTCTAAAAGAATTCAGATATTTACAGAAACTATTCTATACGCTCTTTTAATTTAAATAAATTTAGATAAGAAATAGCATAAATTAAAATATTTAAACCATTTTAAATTACCCTAACATTGTATAGCGATATTTCTGAAAGAAGAATACAGGCTTATAAGGAGTTAACACATTTTCACTGCTTACTGTCTGGAGTAAGTGGTAAGCATGCTCCGAAGTACATAACAAGTGTTACAAGTGGAGTAAGTGGTTAGCATGAAAGAAGTACAGTTGTGTACTTTGAATTTTGTTCGAATGCACAAACTGATGTTTCGTGTTTCCCGCTCAAAAAAAAATTAATAGTCTTTACAATGTCACCGAACTAAACTGAGGGAGCTGATAACAGACCATCACCTAGATTTAATTGACAGGGATTCTGCCTTCCCCCCACTCTTTTAAGAGAGAAAGATTGTCAGGAATGATCGCATTCTCCTGTGTCTCCTGACATCAGTCGTTAGATAGCAGAAAAAAGCTCCGTAGTTGGAATACCGAGAAGGGCATAGCTATTTTTTGTGTTTCCTATTCCATAAAATATAATAGTCGTTCGTTACAGGCTAATATTAAAAGGAAGATTGTGTTAGCTAAGAGGCTGGAGAATCAGAATTTAGTTTACTTTGAAGATACGGACATAAAAGAATATTCAGACTTGATGAATTACAAAAGAAAGTTAAAACGATAGCGATGCTTTAACGCGCGACCATAAGAATGCTGAATCTAGCTTCTATTTTTATTAAAGATTTTGAGAAAAAGAATACAGGTAGCTTGTAAATTTGTGTGATTTGACATCGTGATGCTTTGTTTACACACAGAGAAATATATTCGAAGGATTATGCCGGGACTCAAACCTGGACCTCAAGAATACGTGCCGAGTGTGCTGACCATTACACCACGAAAGCATGCAGAAAGGATGCTCTTTTAAAGAGCAACTGGGGATTAGGGGACCGAATTGCCAAATCCTGGTGGTGAAAAATCATCATCCACCACCTTTTAGTTCGGGCGCTACTGTAGAGTCTTTTAGTTACTTTAAAGCAGGAGATGTGACAAATGAGAAGCGCCCTCACCAGGATTCGAAGCTGGACCTCTCGAATACGCGCCGAGTATGCTAACCGTTACATCACGAAGGCATGCAGAAGGGGGGGGAGAGAAAATAACTATAAAAATATCCTTATTAGAACTTTGGTGATTTTTTATCAGTAGGGAACTGAGATAAAAACTTCATGTAAATAGGATATTAAGGCAGGTAATCGGTGTAATAACAGTGCAGGTTACGGCACGTTACCAGTACCACAAAAGAAGGAGATTTGATAACACATATAAACTCACATTTTAGAAACGTCATCAGCATCGGTATCTTCCTATCAAAACTTTTCTCCCATTGTTTAAAAACATGTTTTTAACAACCTACTACGCCCTTTTACAGTCGATGAAAAATATTTTTAACTCAGTTATTGATTACTATTTGAATAAACTATAATTAATATCCTCAAGAAACATGCTTTTCAACTATGAAAAACTGGCAATCTACTTTTCAATTACGAAAATCTACCAATCTGCGTTTCAGTTATGAAAAAGCTTTTTCTATATTACAGTTACTATCTCTCCAAAACAATGAGTTATTTTTAAAATTTGTAAACCGTCTCGAAAAAGAATAAATCTATTGAAAAACGGACATGCATAATTATTGCTATAAGCATTCAAGTTTTTCACCCTTAGGAAGACACTTCCAAAATGGCTTTCAAAGTAGATGATTGAATGACCTTTCGTCCTGTGTTGACGAGAATGCAATCAACAGATCAACTTCACCGAAATCTTATTATTGAAACTGGTTATTCTTCTTGCCTGGGATTTCATAAAATATGAATAAATAACATCTTGAGTACAAGCAAAAAGATCCAAGTTCTAAAATTTTGTTTGTTTAAATCCAGCAAACTGCGAGTAATGGACAGCTTGACATTGAGGAAAAATATTAAAATTTGAATATTTATGGTCTACTTAAAAAATGTTAAAAGATAATGTATAAATTTTATTTAACAAGAAATTGCCACCTCAGGTTATTTTGTTACGCAAGCTCAAGCTTGTCATTATGAACATTTTCTTGTAGTACACTAAAAGTGATGGATTGGCTTTATTTATTTAATTTTACACAATGTATTTTTTTACGTAAACTTTCTTTTGTATTCATGAATTTTGTGTAGCAGCAAGCTATCTATTATTATTAATATAGCAACATAATTCGCTCTTTGGGGATTTTATAACGTTCATAGTTGCGCAGAAAATAAATTCTTTATGTTATAAGAATCCAAGAATAAAATGGCGAAAAGTAATTTTCTTTAGAGTCTTAAAAAAAAAATGGCATCTGGGGTTTCAAAAAGGTATTTCTGGCAAGACTGAGTTATAAATCAAAAGTTTTACTGCTTTCAAGAGTGGCGATTTAACTCGGCTTACAACTATAACTGTATCCGCTCTACGAAGCTCAAATCGAAAATGGCTCCCTGCTGGAAATTCGCAGACTGAGAGATTCGGTGTTCAATTTTTGATGTTCTTTTTGCGCTTTTGTTGTTGAATGTAACAAAATATAGTAGTTACATAAAATGAGTTTTTTTTTTTTTTTCCTTATCTCAATCAACATTTTTATATTTAACTGCACATTATCGTAGACGAAAAGTTCAAAAGTCAGAAAATATTTTCTAGTACATTTCCAGTTTTGTAATATAATCTAGCACAACAGTTTGCTCATCAAGTTCAAATTATTTGATAGTATAATTTCTTAATAATATTAAAAAAATGCATATATGAATCAGAATTTGCATACTTCTGTCTGAATTCGAAATATTGCTTGTATCTTCAGTTAAAGGATGTATATAATCAGTTACATCGAATAATCAAAGAATTTAAAAATTTCTGGACATTACATTATTTGAATAAAATTTTCTTGATTACTTATAAAGTATTTATATGACAGCAAAAAATAAATATTCTGCGAATCTGCTTTTTTTTTCGTGCTTCCTAAATTAATTTATAAGGTATTTTCTTTCTCCTTTCTGCATGCCTTCGCGGTGTAACCGTTAACACACTCGGCGCGTATTTGAGAGGTCTAGGCTCGAGTCCCGGAAAGGGCATTACTCATTTTCCAAGTCTCCAAGTCAAAGTTTCCGAGTGAAAAAAATCCTAATAATTCTACAGTGGCGCCCGAACTAAAAGGTGGTGGACGATGATTCTTCACCACTAGGATTTGGCGACTGGGTCCCCTAATCTCCAGTATTATCTCTCTGCTTTCTGCATGCCTTCGTGGAGTAACGGTTAGCACACTCGGCGCATATTCTAAAGGTCCAGGTTCGATTCGCGGCGAATACATTGCTCATTTTCAAAAAATCATAATGACTGTGCATATTGTTCATGAACATAATAGTATACTGTCTCAACAGATGGAAGGCGAGACGTTAATCACACTTTCGAAAAGCAGACAAAATTCAACTTTAAATTACAGCTCATTTATCGAAACTTGCGCATTTCGAAGGAACTTTGCATGGGTCTCTATCTTTTTCGAAGCAATTTAATATATTTGCTAAATTTTTCAAAGAGTAACTGCACTTTAAAATGCTTCTTTTAAAATTATTTTTGTATCTGTATTACTAAGAGAGTAGGTTTGCTCCAAAAATAAAGGGGGGGCGAGGGAAAAAACGTTTGTTTCTCTGAAAATGTACACAGCTTTTTGTTTAGTTTACTTAAATTATTTTGATTTTTTAATACTAAAACATTAC